ATCTTAAAAATGCAATATTGGGAGGTAAAAATGTGAAAATATATTTTTCACAGACTAAAATAAATTTTTAAAATCCGCTTTTTGGAGTTCATGAAAATCAGATTTGTCGGTGACAGGCTGAAAGGGATTTAAGAACAACAAAAAATACAGATATAATATAAATACATCTAAACAGATGCTTTATATCTTGAAATGTAAAAATAAAACTCAGAAAACTGTATTTTTTTAATAATAAAAAAAAAGAATTATCCATTTGAGAGATGAAACGGTGTAGAAGATTCAAATTCGTCAAATTCAAAAGTTAAGGTGATATTAAATTTTAATATGGACCAAAATTTCTGAACAATATAGGATTTTATTCTTTTTTTGAAATGTAATGGACACTTAAATACGATGCTTTTTAAAGTTTTTATCAGAATGTTTGAATGAATACACTTTTTAAAAGCCAAATAAGTTAATTTGTTATTTAAATGGGGATAATAATAATAACAAAAACTTATTGAAAAGCCAGAGTAAAAAAATCTGAAATATTAGCTTGGGTTCTTGGCTAATATGAATCATTGTTTTAATATTACATCTAACAGTAAAAATTTTAAAAACAGCTTTTAAAATTATGTTCTTGTTTGTTTTATCTGATCTTCATGTTTTATTTTTCCTTTATTTTGAAAAATGCGCCCCTGTCACCTTCTATTTTAAGCATACGGTGAACAAAACAAAAGAAGAAAAAAAAAATGGAAAAAAAATCAGTAAAAGTTGGTTAGTAGTTAAGTAAGTTTGCTGATTAATCTAATTAAGCAGTTCAAACTTCAAAAAATTATTTTGCAAACATTGTTTTAAATTTTTGAAAATCCAGATTGATTGTTTTAAAAATTCAGAAATTATGGTCCAATTATAAAAGGCGTTTACCCAAAGATAATAGCATTTTTCTGCAATTATTTATCAGTTATGAGATGAATAATGATTGAAAAACTTGGGATTGGGAGGCAAGCGTATTAAATCATCAGAAAAAAATTCATGTAAAATTACCGTACTGAATGGTAATAACTATTCGGATTTAAAAAAATAAAAATTATAATTTTAGTAAGTAAAACCGAATTATGCAGAATCTAAACAATTCTTTTGGTAATTTTTCCGTTTAAGTAGATAGCAACGGTTTAATGGAAATTCTGGTATTAAAAATTATAGTTCTTATTACCACACATTTAGTAAAAAATTCAAAAGTGAAAAGAATAAATAGTTTCTATACCATGCTCAAAATTTCCATGATAAAATTATCAAACTTTGTCACAAAACCAAATTTTTTACATATTAGAAATCCATATTTTAATGCTAATTTTACCAGGATTATAACCAAAACGCTTTGGTAAAGATTTTCGAGCTTTGTAGTCTCCCCATAGAGCCAGAAATAGGTAAATTTTACTATATTCTAGTAGTTTTGACCATGCTTTATTTTTTCTCAGTGTAAACATATAGTACATAATATCAATATTTGAGTACGATTCAAAAAATAATAAAAATAAAAACAAAATCAAAAACTTAGATATTGTTAATAAACACTTTTAATGATGCATTCTGTTAAGTTATGCATAAAATAAAAATGCACAACTTGAAACATTTAATTCTAAATCATTATTACTTAGTTAATTCTTAATTAAGGTAGCTTTTGAATTTTCAGTGTTATTTTCCAAATCATCCATGTACGGATTAGTCCTTGAATGTTAGACAAAATTACTCGTCTCAGGTGTTATCTTGATCAATACTTTGTATTCTAATCTTGATCAATACTTTAATTTTAGTACACTGTAAAAAATTCCGAATAAAATTTCTTTAAAAAGTACCGACACTCTGGCACTTTTTACCGTAAAATTCATTTTTACTGGAATCTGTTACGGACATGAAATCTGATGTATCGTAATTTTACTGTAGTAATTATAGTAAAATCGCTGCATCAATCTCGTTAAATAAATATTACAGTAAAAGTTGCAGTATAATATTTCAGAGGAAAAATGGATTTTACGGTAAAAAGGAATTTGCGGTAAAATAGATTTTACGGATGATGCACCCAAAATGCTTTTACATTATACCGTGATTTGAACCGGAATTTTTAACAGAGTATGTTTATAACAGAATATTATTGTAGGTTTGGATCAATACTTGTCTGTTTACAAGAAGGTGTTGATTCAAACCTACAACATCACCTGACAGCTAAATCGTGTAAATTTTTATAGCAGTTTTTTGGAATCAAATTTTGAAATTCAATATAATATAGATCATATTGAACATTCGAGTTTTTTTTAATTTTCTTTTTTTTTTTATTGATTTTGACGAAGTTTCTGAAGATGACATTATTATTTTAACGTTTTGTTTAAAAAAAAAATTTTAAATGTTAAAATGATGTATAATAAAATGATGTATTTTAAAATGATGTAAAATAATTAATAACAATAATAATGGATGATTTTTATAAAATAGAAATATAGAAAGTGAATTTTAATGTTTAAAGCTTTTCCGGTATACAAAAAAATGACGTGTCAATACAATTACAATGTTACAATACGTTATTGAATTAACACTGACAAAAAATGACGTATCTTTTTCAAATAGTCTTATCTTTTCGTTATGATAGATGATGTAAAATAAATAAATAAATAAACAACCAAATATTAAAAAAAAAGATGATTTTCTTAAAATCAAGTTATAGAGAATGAATCTTAATCTATAAAGCTTTCACAGTAAACTAAAAAACGACGCATCAAAACAGAGACAATGTCATATTACGTCATTGAATTAACGCTGCCAAAATCCATACATCTTTTCAAAAAATCTTATCATTTTATGATATATGATGTAAAATAATAAATAACAATTACGCACGGATTTCTCAAAGTAGGAAAGGAATTTTAATCCTTAAAATTGATCCAATTTGTTACAAAAATTACATATCGTTTTTTTTTCTTAAGTAAACCTCTTATAATAATGGGGAAAATATCCATTACATAATTTCTGAGTTTTTTGTGAGGCGATGGAGTAGCTAGGGGGTGGCAAGAGATAATATCTTCAATTTTATGAAAAAGTAATTAAAAATGAATTCCAGAGTAAAATGCTTTTTTCCTCTCATTTTTTTCATCAAATGCCTCATTTCCTACCATTTTTTTATCCTTTCTTTTCCTATCTGTGGGCCCCATAACTGCATCAAATTCTTTATTTTTTAAAAACGATTTACTTAAAAATTTTATTATACTGTTGTTTACGAATATTGTACAGTAATATTATTATAGCAATAGTGTTATAGTGATATAGTGGTGTATAAAGCAATAGTTATAGTAATATTGTAGTTACTTTACACGTAGGTTTTTTTTAAAAATTATATTTTTCAGTTTATATTTAATATATTGAGTGAAAAATGTCTTTAGGAAAAGTATTATCGAATCAAAAACAATCAACTCAATCTAAAATATCAAGTGTAGCAATTCCGTTTAAAATTCAACAGTGTATGTTACTATTGTATGTCTACATTAGTAAGACATATCATTTTATTTTAAATCGAAAAGAAGTAAAATTTATTAAGTTATTGGAAGCCTTAAAAGAACATTATGTAAAGTTGAAAAATCTTATTCAGTGTAAAATTTAAAGAAAAAGAAAGTCAATTGTGTTGAACTTAAAGTTTCCCATTTTCTAAAGTTATGCGTAAAATTTCATTTTAATGGTGTTAACCTAAAAAATAATAGTGTTTTTTTAATCATTGACGTACTCATTATTATAAAAGTAAATCAAAATCTAATGAATGTTTGAAAAATCTGAGACATTTTAATTAGATATCATCCTTTTAAATTTCAATTTATTTTGTTACTGCTAGTAATGTTATATCGTGATTTTTATTTATTTTTACTAATTTTATTTCCTAAGTTTAAAGGAAAATAATTATAAATCAATCACAATTTTGAAATAAAAAGAAAGAGATCATAGATTTTGACTTCGGAAATAAATCAATTATTTTTTATGAGATAAATATCGGGAAACGGTTCCTCATATGAGAGATTTTTTTTTAAAAATTACACATAAAACATAATAATTATTATTATGTTTATTATTATAATATCTAATGTATATGTGACGGGTGCAAATTATTAGGTCTCGGTAAAATTTACGCAACTTCAACTTATTTCAATAAATAAAAATATTAAAAAATCTGCAAATCGCGAAAAGTTGTAAAAGGGAAAGACTCAAAATAGTACCATGGTATATTAAATATGTCATGGTACTATTAATATGCTATTGTATACAAGATCTACAAAAATAAAAACAATCGAGTCTTTTCCTTTTTCTAAGTTGCTCTCATTTGCATTTCAAGTACAAGGTTCAGGACCTCAAAATTGTCATCATCAACACCTTAATTTTCCTGAGGCCATCTTCTGAAGTGAAAACTGCTAACTATACGTAACAACCTTTGGATTTTTAATGACAACTAAACGAATATTAAATGGCGTATTAAACGATTTACTTCTACAATTCTCTTTAGAAAATCGCAGATATAGATTGAAATTGAATTAGCTTGGCAAATTTAACAAATATTTTTAGCATTGAACTGATTTTTTACTCGAATCATTAGCTACACAATATTACTGGTAATAATGAATTAAACAGATTGCCAATCTTGAAAATTAAATATTTTATGGTTAAAATTCAACAATGAAACTAAAATACGGCAAACGTGAATGTGGTATTAACATTTAAAAATGAATATTAGTCGAATCATAAGAAGAATTTTTTATTCGGAGAAAATACTTTTTTAATACATAATTATGCTTATGCTCTTAAAAATACTCAAGATTTAAGATCTGCACAAAAATTTATGATATTCGTTGAAATGTCAGGAAGTAAAATCAAATGCCCCTTTTGTAATGACATGCACTATAAAAAAAGGTATAAAGGTATATATNTGACCATATATATATACTCATGTAGGTGAATAAAGATGTAAACAAAATTATATTCATTAGATCCGACTGCTGCTCTACGAGACACGCTTTCAAGGCTTGTACAGAGACAGGAGCGCTCTTCCTTATCCGATTTGGGAGTGATGGGTGAAGAGAATCCTTCAACTCCATCAGAGCAGACAGATCAACAGAATCGGGGCCCACACCACCCTCTAGATTCCACAGATGATGGGGAGACCACTAATGGAAGTGGACCTGACAAACCTAGGAAGATTCGAAGGAGTCGAACAACTTTCACTACCTATCAGCTGCATCAGCTGGAGAGGGCTTTCGAGAAAACACAGTACCCAGATGTATTTACAAGAGAAGAATTGGCAATGAGGCTGGACCTCAGTGAAGCGAGAGTACAGGTACGTCGTTTTATTCATTTTTGTGGCAACGATCCATAATTTACAAACATAGTCTCGGCATTATTATGTATACACTGTCAAACATTTTGGTGGACAGTTCCTACCATTTTTGTTAGTGAAATAAATTTACCTTAAATTAAATAGTGCATTTAGTTCCATTTTTTATTTACTTTTTCCTTGATATGGATTTATTTATTCTTTTGATGTATTCCCTGAAGACATATTTTCATCTGCACTAGAATAAATGCACGGCTTCGCAGCAAAAACATTTCGTTGAAAGAACAAGTGCATTTTTAGTAATGTCTTTGCACTAATTATTCCTAACTATTGTTCGTATGTTATAATGTGTAATTTGTGCCTTGTAGACAAAAGCAAAAAACAGCGTGAATAAAGCCTTTCTTACCCTTATTTGATGTTTAGACATTGAGGAAAGTTCTTGTTTATAGAACTGAAACTATAGTATGTCTTTTCAGGCTTTTACATTTGCGCTTTATTCACGTAGTTTTTTGCTGTAGTTTAATTGTTATTTTCTCATTTTATATAGTTTTTTGAACGATAACAACAGTTCCGTACTCAAAAATAGATTTAGTTTACCTTAGCACTAAAAATGGTGGCAACTATATATCAAAATTTTTTTAAACTGTGTGAATTTGGCACAACTCGAATCTGACAGACCAACGTAAAACTTTGACCCATCGAAAAAAAAGTGGAAAGTTTGCGTTTCATTTAATGTTATTATTCTTCGAAACCACCGACTTTTCTTCTGTTTCATTAAAAAATTTTATAAGAAATTCTTAGGGTTAATTTTAAGATAAACTTTAGATGAATTAAAGATAATATTTGGAGAATTAACCGAGACTAAATCAACTCGAAGTTACATCTAATATACTTTTTCGTGCAGAGCTAAAATTTTTTTTAATTATATTTATTTTATTTCATACTTCTTCTTGTTGGGATTCGTTAAAAATTTGCGCTATATTTTCTTCTTCTTTGTAAATTTAGCAAGGGTAGTAAACAGTCATTTGAAAATAGATGTATACTGCATTGCGTGCAACTGAACCTATATAAATCACTTATAAACACAATTATTGATATTAATAAATTATTTCTCCAATAAGATGTAGATAAATCTCAATGAATCACAGCATAGCTAAATCACGTGAGTGAACACCGTCAAAATGTATGGGTCAGATTACAATTGTAATACTGGTCGGTGTAATATTGCTCATGACTGGTTGATATAAAAATGAAATTTGCCCATGTTGGAACCTCTTTCCAACATTTTATTTTATTTTGTATTTTATTTTATAACTGGTGTTGAACAGCAGACCCAATTCTGAGCTTACGACTACCAATGCCTTGTAATTTTGACAGGGATCGGGCGGTTGGACATGCTAGCCTCGGAGGAGGACGTTTTGATGTAAATAATCTACATTTGTGTTACTTGTACCACTGTTAACCTGACGGCAACCAATTCTCGTTCTACCACTAAGGATATTTTACGTTAACATTGTGGTCGGTATGAGTCGGGAGCAGAATTCATATCAACTAGCCACCGCTGGGATTCGAACCAGGGTTAACCTTATTGGGAGGCAAACAATCTTAGTCTAAGCCACTGCTACTTTTTGTTCCAACATAGAGGATCAGCAAAAATATTGATTAACCGTAAAAAAGGAAGTAGAAAGAAAATCTAGACAGTTTAGTTCGGAGGACTAAGATTCGTTACCAATGGAAAAGCAATGTCCAGACAGTTTCCCAAATCAGGGGCGATCTCTCGCCTTACCTTTTGCTTTTCAACCCCACATTGTATAGTAATTTTTTTTATGTCTTTATTTAGTTGCTTTTTGTTTCGTATGTTTTATCTACTTTTACAGATCTGATCATTAGTTTTGTTATAGTTTGAATAACATATTAAATTTGGTAACCGCTATTATATGACTCATTGTAAAGCATAAGATACACTTTGTTTGCATATCCTTATGGGCTATGAAGAAAACCAAAAAAAAAAAAAAAAAAATTCAAAGGAAAAAAAATAAATGTAGTCAATTTTCACTTTCTAATATATGTTTCTCCTTGTGTATAAAAATGATTTTCGATTAAATGAAAATTAAATTGATTCAGTTTAATTCAAAAATTTATGTTGATTTTAGCATTTTTTGAAAATTTAATTTTGTTGGTTGCCATTTCAGACGACTCTACACCGCGAGAGAAACCTTTCATGGCATATTCTCTTTCACCAAATTAAGCAATTTATCATTTAAAGTAAAGCAAGTTCATGTAAACCTAGAGTACACCAATAAGTTTCAAATGCTGAAAATTGTTTTTAAAAAATATCTAAATGCAAACAAATTATGGCAGGAATACAAAGGATTACACAATGGAGAAGTTATCTTGAAATAATTTATTAGTATTTTTAAAATTTTGAAACTATTTTTTCAGCATTTGAAACTTAATGTTTTTCTCTAAATTTATCTGAACTTATTTTTTTCTTAACTTTAAATTTTAAGATACCAATTGAGAAGAATCAGTATTTCCTACGAAAAGTTTCTCCCGCGACATATCGTCCTCCTTAAAGGACGCCATACTTCGGGAGAAACACTTTATACAAATTCTCTTTCACCTCCATAAGTGATTTAATATTTAAAGTATGGAAAAAGTGAATTCAGACAAACATAGATTAAGCCATGAAGCTTCAATTTACTGAAAAGAAATTTTCATAATATCAAAATAAAAACAAATTATGATAAGATAAATTAGGATTACGCAATGGGGAAGCTTTCTTCTCATAATTTGTTTGCATTTTGATAATTTGACATCTGTGTCAATTTTTTTCTCGAGCAATTGTAACTCCATGCCTTACTCTAGGTTTGCCTAAACTCAATTTTAAACTTTAAATTACTAATTAATGAAGTTGAAACAGAATTTGGGAGAATCGCTCGTGGTAAAGCGTCCTCTTTAGGCATTGAGTTGTCATTGTGAATGACAGGGGTTTTATTCCTGGAGGTGGCTTAAGAGCTAACCCACATTCAGATCGATCGGTGCTGACCACATTACCAATCATGTCGATCTTGAAATTGCTGACCTTGAACCTTTATCAGCTTTTTAGTTGTTGTGAAAGTGTTATACATTTTCTAATGATGAAAACATATTAAATATTCAAAAATGAGTTGAAAAATATAGTTAGTTAGTTCGAATTAAGAAAAAAAAATTCCTTGAAGGATTTAAAAATATTATGACGTCGTGTTAATTATATTTGTGTTAATTAGTTGCATAAAAATAGCGTGAATTGACAAGCACTGGCGAGATTAATATAAACCGGAAAAACGCAATCAAATTTGTAAAATAATAATGCTCCTGGCACCATTATGCTTCCTCTCCTCTTCCACTACTTCTTCCACCTTCATCTGATCCCTCCCAGCCAATCAGATGAAGAAGAGGAGGAGATTCCCCTCTTTCCGTTTAGCGAAAGGAAACGACGCCAAGTGAGAATGAAAAAATTGAATCATGTTTTGCTTGTTAATGTCGAGTAAGGAATTTAAAGAGAGAGTTTTGTTTAAGTTGGTCGCACTGATTCAGATTTAGAAAGCAATGAAGTTGACGTTGATTCTGTTTAACTTGGCTTCAATTGGCTTAGAGTATGCCTGAAATGTTGAGTTTTTTCTTCAAATAAAAATAATTTGCCAATTACACTTTATTGGCTAAACCTAAACCTTTAATAAATATCACATCTATGTATTTTCATTTTATTACATACATATTTTTTATATTTTCAATTACCGTGATGCAATCTAGGGAACAAATCAAAGTCAATAATTCAATGAGATTTAAGGGTCAGTCAATTATTTAGAAATTGGAGGTTCAGTCATTTAAATTTGATTTAGTTTTTCGCATAGTACTTATAGTTTCTTCTTCAAATTTTTTATATTTTGTGATTTGCTTAAAATAACCTTGCAATTAAATGTTTTTTAAGCAAACAATGATATTATTTGCAACAACTTCTTACATTTTTGTTGAGGATGGCATTAATTTGATAGGTAATATATGCGTTTACTTATTATATTAAAGGTATATAGAGAAAAAAACTGTACATTTTTAAACAATAAAGTAGTCTGGTAGTAGTCAGTAGTAGTTTGGTTATTTGAAAATCACTTAGAAATTTTTCCTAAATTCTGATTTTTTTTCTTCTCTTTTTTTTCCTCATTTTTAAAAAAAAAAAATTATATATTTTTTTTTATTGTAATTTATCTTATTTTCGAGCTCAACACTCCCCTTCCGTCCAGTGCTTTTGATTAGTCAGCAAAATGACTGAATTGCAGAATGGTTAGTCTAAGATTGCTATAATTAAGTTCCAGATCGATCACGAAAAATAAATGAAACCTTTTTTCCTGGTTATTGCACTTTTTTCTTAAAACTTAGGAGCATAAAAATATTGATGGTAGTGTACAATTGTTTTACAACCCTATTTTGACAACCTTGCATCAGCTTTGCTGTTTTCATTTCGTATTTTTAATAAAAAAAAATACAAGTGAAAGATTTTTGATAATTATTAACACTTACCTAACGGTTAGAAAAAATAGTATTAAAATTTATAATATGAACTCAAATTAAAACTTGCTATTTTAAGTTTTCGAATCAGTATGTAATTGATATTTATGCTAATTTAATATGCGTTGTTTCTTTATTAAAATGTACTGAATATTAAATTATATAAAAAAATGGACAGAAAACACAGCTAAACAAATTTTTAAAAAAGTTGTGGATACCTTAGTATCTGAAATTTTTTTTAAGACAGTTAAAATGTGCTAATTCAAACAGTGCAAACCATTTTTCTCTGTCACCCACAGTTTTTTTTAGACACATTTCTTAATTTCATTCATATCTCACTAGAGCCATTTTTCTGTTGTAATGAGTACTAATGAACATATCATTAGCTAAGAAAACTAGTCAGATTGAGTCAGATCACATACATACAGAATAGAAATATCCAGTTCAAAATAAAG